TTCAGCTCTCAGTTTTCTGTGTTTCAGGCTGTGACACGCTCGTAGAAAGTTTATTTGACGTCCTTTTGGCATACCTGGAGAGTCCAAACACTAACCCTACAGTAAGTATAGGAGCAAGGACAGTCATGTGTATTAGCTTGCTCCACTGGGATGTAGTTCTGAGAAACAGTCTGACAATAGTTGCTTCTTAACACAGTTTGCATTAGAATATATAGGAGGATTATTTTGACTCTGGGTGGCTTGCAGGTCATAACTAAAATGTTAGTGAGCGAGTAATTGGATGCTTTTGAAAGATGGGAGCCATCACATCTAGGAGTAGTGCCAACATATTAAACGTGATGTGGCCTTTAAGCATCCAGTTGGTGCTAGGGTTGTTTGTTTTGTCAGAATGGCTCAGAAGACAACTGCAAATCAAAACCTGGAGAAACCAGGAGTTTATATTACTAGCTTAAGAACAGGCATGTTCTAGGAGCTTACTAGAAATACTGTATAGGTACCATTTGCTTGTGGCTTACTTCCTAATAAGGACAGATATTTGTTTTTCCTGGGAATTTCTCTGTAATTTGAGGATAAAACAAATTCTATCTAGGGTAAAGGCAAAAAATGCTTCTTCTCATATTAAAGTAAATGTGCTTTATGTTGTTTAGGTTCTGAAAAAGTCATTTCAAGCTGCATCCAAATGGCTGGTGTGCTTACCTGAAATGTCCCGTTTCAACAGCCAGTGGCAAACCAAGAAGATTCTGCAAGGTAACAAAACTTTTCAAGCTGGGACAAACAGCAGCTTGCAGCATGTATGAAACCTCCTCTCACCTACCTTTCCCACTTGGAGGACTTACAACTGACCTGTTTGCAATTACGTTGAATGTAGGGTTTAGCAGTCCCTGTAGTGCAATGGAGAACTCCAGGGGGGACACACAGCAGCAACAAAAGGGATTGCATCTGATAAAGTGATGTAGAGGTGGTAGAGTGATTGCTTTGGTAAGGCTTGTTACCTTTCATGTGCATCCAAGCCTGTCACTTGACTTTTACAGATGTATTTCTGGTGCTGCAGAAGCGTTTGTGCAGTCCTTGCTGGGAAGTACGAGATTCTTCTCTGGAGTTCCTCACCGTCCTGATTAAAGGCTTGAGAGGTACGTGCAGAGATAAGATGGTTCAGATTGGAGGAGTATTTCCTTTAATGCTGTAAAAGTCACTGGGGCTTGTGAAGCATCCTCTGATGTGTAATTGGAGAGAAAAAAAATATTCTCAGATCATGAGCAAAATCTTCTAAAAGATTAACAAGCTTAGAAATCTGAGTTTATCAGGCAAGTAGTATATGTTCTCCTCAATGACAGTTTTAGTGAATTAAAGTGAGAAATACTGAGACTGTTCTTCAACATGTGTCAGAGCAGGTGACAATAATCCTTAATGGCAGATAATCCTTTCCCTTTTCTCTGTTTGCTCTATAGTGGATTCTGGGTTCCTCTGAACAGGCTGGGGGCTGGGATTTAGGAGGCGCTATGCTGCAGGTCTTATTTGCATGCTTTGGATTAACTACTGATTTTCCACTTTTCCTCAATGCTCAAGCATTGCAGCAGGCAGCACTAAGGCTGTATTAATTCTTCCACAGTAGCCCTGCTGTGTTGGAAGAGGGGAGGATGTTGTCTACCACTGTCTCCATCCAGGTCAGAAAGGAAGTATCCAGCACACTCAGCTGTGTTAGCAGTGCACCGCAGCCGCCCTTCTCAGTGGTGCTGCTTCAGTTACATCTAGTTTTCTTTACCGGGGTCTTGAGATCAAGAAGGGAAGACTTTTTTTCATCCTTTAAGCAAAACAGTTAGTTTGATGGGCTGAAACCATGTCCCTGCTTGCCTAAAGGAAAGGTTTTCTTGCCCCTAGAATAACGGTAAATGGATTTTTTTCCAAACTTTGCTGTTTAGCAGGGCTTGACTGGAGGTCACCAGGGAGCCTGACACAGAGCATCTGTACTCTTAAAAGCAGCTGCCTGGTCTCTGCAGCAGCTCAGCTCACTGGCAGCTGTTCCTCCAGTCAGTGGGCGTCCTTGTATGACGCAGAGGACTGTTTGCATTGGAAACAGCTTCAAGTTCTGAGAGAATAAAGCCTCACTTCTTTGGACTACTGTCTTGTTTACAGACCAGGATGAGTTCAGGCAGACTCTCCTCTCTTCGGAGGTGCCGAGGCTTACAGAAGATCTTCTTGAGGACCCAGAGAGTTACGTGCGAGCGAGTGCTGTGACTACTGCAGGACACCTGACCTTCATTACTTACTTTGCTGCAGAGTCACCTGTCATAGGGAGTCAATATAATAAAGAGGTATGGTAACTTTGTGTAGCCCACAGCGACGGAATCAAGCAGAACTGCATAACATTTTTGCTGTTATATTGTTTATAACTTTCTTGAAGTCATCTGCAGTCTCATGCAGTCAGGTTTCACAACCGTTTAAATAAGATGCTACAGCAGTGACAAGGGACTAGATTTTTTTTACTTACGCTATTCTTGTTTCTTTACATGTTCTTTCCCTCTTTGTGTTTTCTCTTTGTCTTTTTGTGTTTAGAACACTGTAGCAAAGCTTCAAGAAATCTTGTCTACAGATCCGGAGGGCTTTCCTAGGAGGGCTGTGATCAGCGTCTTCACCAAGTGGCTGAGACAAGGCTACGCAGGTCTACTGCAGGACAGAGAGCAGTTTGTCTCTAGAGTGATCCAAATCGCAGAGAGCGACTTAGACTGGGAAGTCAGGCTTGGTGGTTTGGAATTGGTTGAAGTTTTCTGCGTCCAGACGCTTTGCCGACTTGGCCGTCCTAAATGCCCGTATGCTCCTCTCTCATCTGCATTCACTAGTTCCGTTGGTCAGCATGAGTCGCTGCAGATATTTTGCCAAGCAAAATTGTTTGGCTTTTTGTTTCATTCTTTGTGTGACTGTGACAGGCCAGTTGGTCAGAAAGCCTGCGATGTATTGCTTGCCTTAAGATCTAGTTTTTATCCAAGTAACACCCTGAAGGATTTTCAAGAGACTGGAGATTCACCTGCAGGACATGGCATTGCATGGTTACAAAGGACACTAAGGCAGGGTTCTCTGGCCCAGAACTTCCCCTCAGGCAGTGGTAACGAGATTGACTTCCAAGATCCAGAGAGCATGCTTCTGGCTTTGGGAACAATAGACCTAGAAGAGCTGCATGATGATCTAAACAAAAGTAGTGACCACGTGGAGAAAAGCCCTCAGTCGCTCTTACAGGACATCCTTGCTACTGTGGGCACCGTAGAGGAGAATGAAGCTGACTGCTACTAAAGACATCTCTGCTTTAAGGGAGCAGTGCTTCACATCATTTTTTTTTTTTGGAGGAGAATTTTTGCTACTAGTCATGAAGTCTGTCTTGAGAGAGCCTCAAAAGAAGGACTACTTTGAATAGAGAAAAGGATTAAATGTTAGATGAGTCACACAATCTTTGCTTTAATACTGGTGTAAATTTTCTGATAAATGTCATTTATAGTTAACTGTCTGAGCTGTTTCTCAAAGTAAAATATATTTAAGAAGTGGATTTGTTTTGCTTTTAACTTGTACATTCTTTAGGAAAGCACTAGGCCTTGCTCTCCATGAAGAAACCTATTTTTTAAAAAAGAGAAACAAAGGAGTGACTGAAAACAATTATTGCATGCTCCTTTTAAAGCCAGAGTAGCTAAACCTATTGAAGACTGGCTTTAAAAATACACTGTTTTTACCTTGTCCATATCCTTATTCTAAAAATGGGGTTCTCAAGTTCCCTGTTGCATTTAGAACAGAGGAAGGCGTTTGAGGGATTATAAGTGTACTGGTTTTATTTATCTATCTGTGCACTGGTTTGATCTCAGTGATGACACTAAAAAGCTAACAAAGTTCTTATTTGATGCTTTTTAAATTGAAATCAGGAGAAAGTCCCAGTTTGTTGGCCTTTGTAAGTGCTCCTATTCTTGATTTCTGAAGAATAGCTCCTAACTGATAAAAGAGATTTTGACACCTGCAGCTGTTCCATGATAACATTGATCCATGCTTAGCTTTAGTAAACAATTAGAAAACAGCAGCTATAATGAGAAGGACAACACTTTTCTGGAGAAAGACTTGCCAGCTTTTAAGAAGCTCAGGGAAGGCTGTAGTTTGTTACTGAATCCAATGACTCCTCTTGTGCTGTTTAAGAAGCCTTCTGTAATATGAAGAAACAGTACCTTTAGCAGTAGGTCAGACTGTACTATATTCCTTTTCAGTACTGAAGTGTTACCTAGCATCCTGTATCCTCTCTTAGCCTAACATAGAGGCAGGAACACAACACTCATGTTAGCCTAATGGAGGCTATAGCATTTAATGCAGTTGAGACACTTACTCATACAATCTCAGTCTTCAGTATTATCCCTGCAGCACTACACTGGGGTTAGATGTAGTTTAAATGTCTTGCTGCTAAGGCTGGAGGTTTACTCAGTGCCTTTTAATGAACTCAGCATGCTTATCTAGCACTCTGCACACAGCTTTATATATGACAGAGCCCTTGGGTATTGTAACAGCAGCTGTTCTTAGGAGAGAGCAGCTTCTGCTGGTGATACACAATTCTACTTGGCCAGCAACTACACATGGCAGAAGACAGAAGATATGAAAAATCATGCCTTTCCCTGTGCCTGCGTTTTGCTCTGAACTTGGGAGGGTTAGTAAAAGAGAAGGGAGCGGCTTTTAAGGAAGTGTGGGTCGTTTGTGGAGGTTTAGCACTCCTGTCTGTTGAAGGGGTTATAATTCCAAAACTAGCATTACATCTTGGCAATAAGTCGGATAGATAGATACACTCCAGGAAAGCAGATGAGCGGGTTGCTGGGGGGGATTTATTCCTCCCTTTCGGGACTAGAATTCTTGACGTTTCAAGGTTGCCCGCTTTAAGAGATGCCCAGGAATTTATTCAAAGATCAGCAAATTGAACAAATTACTTGTTACAGAAAGAAGAATCCACTGCACATTAAGGAGGTCTCTCGATTCTCAGTCCTGTTCACTTTTAATGGAGCTTTTTCCTATTTTGTAGAGGTTGGAATGATAACAGGTTGCCCAATTGCAGTCCAAAGTCCTTTTTATAGACAGGATGGCTTGCACCAGTGAAAGTCAAAGTTGTACAACTGATGGGCCAAACTGAGATGGCTCCTTATTTTTGGAAGAGGAATTAAGGTGTCCTTTCATTGAAAAAAAGAAGTCTTTCCCTCTAGCAATTAAGCGACTCAATGCTGATTTTGCACTTCTCGTCCTCTGAGCTCACAACCCTTCCTTGCTTTGTGTTTTCTGTTTCTCTAGTTACAGTGTTACAGTACAGAGTCTTGTTAGTGCTGAGATGCTGGGACTGGCATCCCACACCTGGTAATTGGGAGACAGCTGAAGAGTTAGGAACATCTGAGCAGCGTGAAGAGTGAAGTGGCAGGGAATAGAGAGCTCAGGGGAGATGAGAAAAATCCATTGATTCTTTCTGCAGAAAAAAAGGTGTCAGTAGGATTTGTGAGCTGAAAGGTTAGCACTCAATTTGTAAACAAGCACCAAACGGCTACTAATGTGAATTATCCTACTATCTTATCCTCAGACATGTAGATGAGCAAGCCTAAGAGAAATCAGGACTAGATTTCAGCAAGAGAAAGATCTAATGGGAGCTGTATTCAAGTACATATTTTTCAAGACAATCTAAAAATTGCCTACTGAATATCTGACTGCAAAAAAAAAAAAAAGCTTCCCTTTTCAATTCTGTCCATAATCATCTCGCCTAGACTTGTTACAGCCCTGGGGAAGAGTTACTAAGCTTATGGTCTGATTTCATATTCAGGCACATTTGTTCTGCTCTGGAGCAATCCCTATGCTAGGACGCCCATTTTTTTACTGTGTTAAGAAATTGTTTGCAAGTCCTACCCCACTTTCTTATAACACTAACTTATTTTCGACCTACTTCTTACCTACCAAAGTTATTTTTGCACATCTACAAGATACTTATCCCAGCCACACAGCTTTCTGCTGGGTTAAGGATTTATGCCATTTGCTAACTCTTGCTGAGTATTTGTGGTCACAACACACCTAAAGGAAAAAGGAATCTTATTCACAGTTCTGCAAAACAGACTTGTTACCCCAAACATGTCCTGGCACTTGAGACTACGCATACTGAGCATTAAGGTCAACAAGTGGCATTGCTACTCACCATTTCACAATGTTAAAACAACAGTTCCCTCTATAAACTGTGCGCACTCAGTGCGCTGCTGTCACACACGGTGCACTGGTGGCGTAGAGCAGGAAGCGGTCTGCCAGGCGTTCAGTTACAGAAAAGGTGCAAGCTGCCTTTCTGGGATGGGTTTCTGTGGAAACTGCTGCTTTTACACCCTTGAAGCTGTAGCTGTACAGTTCCTGTAGGAGACGGGCACCACAGAGAATTTTTTTTTTTCCCCCATATGCACATGATAGCTGATTTAACCAAAGGCTGTGGCCTTTGCTGTGATTTACTTTAGTGGGCAGCGGGAAGTAGGAACAGAAGTGGTATCAACACAGAACATCACAGACTAGAAAAATCTAGGTCTGCAATGGCTGGTACTGTGGAAAAAAAGAGGATTACAAAGCTCTGTTCCACTCTTTAGCTAAAAAGGGTGCAATGTAAGCTATGTTGCCTGATCCGCATGCAGGTATGAAATTCCTAGAGCTGCTTCCAACACATTTCAACAAAGCTCTGCAGAAAGGATTTATCCTTTTGTTGCTCAGCCTCAAACAGAAGCAGTGGAGAACAAGCATCTTTGGCTCAGCCTTACACTAGTAATGGCTTTATAAAAGCTGCCAAAGGAATGGCTGTTCATTTTTTTTTTGTTTTAATACACTGGACATTTAACATCTGAAGACTTCTCTACCCAATTATACTGACTGCATAACTTTTAGTCAAAAATAGGCCATGAAAGTCTAAGGCTGCTGCTTTAGCTTAGATATATGGGCTCTGCGATTACAAATCAACTCATGCATATCTTTAAAATTTCTTGTGTCTGTCTAGTACAAGCGCTAATTCTCAGGACACATTCATCACAGCTTTTAAAAGCCAGTGTGCGTGGCAGAGGAAACTCGTCAAGCAGCTTCACTGCAGAAGTTCTCAGCAATTTACAATGGAAAAATGTATCAGTAGCAGCACCCTTCTAGGCTGCATCATTTCCCTTTGTGAGCAGTGGTTTTTGTCCTCTGCTGAGAAATAAAGCAGCAGTGAATGCATCCAGACCTCAGCCTGCGTCAGACGCACTTCGCTACAGGCAGGGCAGCTCTCGCTTATAACCTTGCCAGCCACACACTGAGATGGAAGTGGAACAACCTTCTTCTTCAAAAGTGTTTTGTCTGTGCAGACTGAGAAGGAAATAAAGCCAATGATGTACAACTGTAATGAAAGCATTAAGGACACGCTCTACAAACACACGTGTTGCTCATTGAGGATACGCTTCTAACTTCGCCCTGGATGGAAGAGGAAATAAACAACCTGGGTTAAGAGTCCCTGCATAACCAGAGGTGCAATTACACAGCTGTTCCGTTTAAAACAAAGGTAACGTGAAGAAAACCGTATTTCAGACCATCAGTAATATCAATGCCAAATCTCTGCTTAGAGTGCAGCAGCTCAGAGGAATATATTTGCCATAAACACAACAGGGCTGGGAAGATGCCTTTCATCTTACCCTTTGTCACATGGCTGCCTCCAAAACAAACCTATCCAGACCAAGCTGCTGCCCCAGCTCACTCTCTCGTGGTTCAAAGGCAGGAACAGAGCGTGGGACCACTGCTTTCAGGGACATTTCTTGGTTAGGTCAAGTGTGTGTGGGGGGGGGGAGGGTGTAAAGTAACCTTAAAGAGCTCCTGTAAAGTGTTAGGTCTTGACCTGTGTAGGACTGCCCCTTTTCAGTCCTATCTTTAGTGCTAGGTAGGCAGGAATTACCCTTAGGGGATAGACAGATACGCTTGCAAATCTTCCCATTCTCCCGTTTCATTATCTCCGAGTCTTCATATTTCTAGTCTCCCTTGAAGCCACATTCCCTGAGCTTTCAGGGCAAGGCAGTGGGAGGGAGCAGGGAATTTGCTCTCCTGCACATAGGAATGTCCATATTTGTCTCGGTCAGTCCCTTGCCATCACCCCACTTGGGGAGGCCGTCCTCCCCATGCAGGGCTTCGGACCCCGAGCGGCTGAAGGAGCTGCACAGCCAGGTCTAGCAACGATGACCCAGGCCGTAGCAGGAAGCATTACTTGGCCCAGCTAAGCTAGCTGCAAAACAAAAGCTTGTTAGGCTGTGTTAGCAATCACACATGCAACTCTTCTGGTGTAGACAGGCCCTTATGCTGGCTGGGCAGGGGCGCAGGTGAGCGCTGGAGCCCGTTGCTTTCAAATTCAAACACCCTTCACGAGACCGGTCTCATGAGTACAACTCGGGTTACATGCCAACAACAAAAAGCTGCAGTTGAAAACACGGCGATGGTTGCTAAGTGACAGCATCCATACGGCCTGTCACCACCACGAGCTGAACAGCTGTGGCTGCGCG